GCAAAGCTGTTCTTTTTTCCTGGCAGCTTTAAACTATTTTTATCAGTATGATCCCAGCCGAAAAGCCACCTCTTTTTAAATGTTAAATGCTCTTGAGAAATGCAGAATTTTAAAAGAATGTGTTCCTCTAATGGAAAATACCAATATTTTTTCTGCAAATTTCATCACATGACATCGCTACTTGCAGTGAAATGGTAACTCAAATAAGATTGTCTATTGTGTAAATATTTGGGGGGATATATTTATCAGTTGGCTTTAGAAGTAGGATTAGCTTTTTGAGACACCTAACAAGGGGGTCTTTGCAGCCTAAACATCCAGTGGAAAAGGAAATTAACGTTCTGGTCAAGTGTATATTTAGACAAAGTTATATATAGTGAGCAAAGTCCTGCTTGTCTTACTCATGCAAGCAATCCAGTAGAATGAATAAGGCTCACAGGATTACTTTGTATATATATAATGTATGGAATATAGCTTTTATAGGCAAAAATTTCCAATATTGGTGTCCGATTTGAGGCCAACATCTGAACGTAGGAACTTTAGTGCTGCATATTGGCCTATATTCTTAACTGTAATAGTTCCCTTGAATTCAGTGAGAGTACCACGATGCACAAAATGATGTGTGTTTGTGAGGATATGCCAGAGGCACCTCAGGAGAAGCAGCTTGAATTTCAAGGGTGCTGAGCACCTGTGACTCCTATGGAAATAAATGCGAATCATGAGTATTCCGCTCATATGTAGATGCCTAAATATAAATTAAATATCAATATTAAATATAAAGATTAACTATAGATTAGGCTTCCATGTTTGAAAACTGGGACTAAATTTAGATATTACACAAAATGTTGTACTTCCTGACTTTTAATGTTAAATTGTAGTAAAATTCACTTTGGCTTCTTGTAAAACGAAGAAAAATGGTTTTAGTTTTGCAGATTCTGCTCCTCGTTGTTACTAATGAATGCAAGTGCATGCATAAAGTTACTCTCAAAAGGAATACATTTTGCAAACAAATGCTGTGGGATTGTTGAAAATCATGTTGCCTTTTACTGTTTGTATGCACAATTTTGGGGGTGAGGGCAGGAAGAGAAGTTATTAGAGGGAGTAACCTGAATGAGAGGAACCCCTGCTGACATGGCCAGCCTGACCCATTGAATGGTCTGAATATGATAAATGCTGCTTTATCCTTTCTTGAAAGGAACAAGATAGCACAGCCTAAATGCCTGGGTGTGCTTAAATAGGCAACTCTGGGACGTTTGAGTTGAGTGTGTTTGAAATCTGAGCTCTCTGACAGCCTGGGAGCTGCCACAGGTCACCTGCCTTACTCCATGGGGACAGGCCCAGGTCTCACAAGAAATTGTCCATGGACGAATTGTAGTACAAATTCCTTTCTTTGTTGGTTGGCCTCTTTCACTAGACCATGGCCTATAAAATTTTGTAAAAACAATTCTTAAATATTATTTGAAAGGGCAAATGGCCATGCTGAAAGGTTTGACAGTTTGACATATAGTACATGGTTTTGATAGCTCAGAAACTGAAATGTGGAGCCAAAGCTCTCCTTATGCTTGTTATAGGCTCGGTGTTTTTTAAATAGTGTCTAGTTGCTGTGCAGAGTTCCTCTGCTCCTAGCAATTTGACAGGCAATGAGTCTGCTTCAGTGATCTTAAATCCTTTTAGACTAATTTGTGAGAGAGCAGAAAAACAGCTAGCACCTTTGGATTCAGTGTTCAAAAATAGAGAATCAGGTATTGCCAATTAAAGTGCCATTTCAAACAATCATATCAAGACAGATTACTTTAAATTCCTCTGATAATGTCATGCCATGCCTAAAGAGAAAGCAACTGGGAGTTTCTCTACAGACAAAGGATTTGAGTGGACCAAGCTCATCAGTGACTGAGACAGAGGTAGTATGAACCAGATTTCTGCATTAGAATGTTGCGTATGTGCAACGTGAATGCAAGCAGTGTGCCTACTCTGCCCCTGAATTGCCAAAGGCCATTTCTAAGAGCCTCTGGCCTCTCAGTCACTGGCCTACTAGTTAATTGCCACACGGACTTCGTGACACATGGGCAGATAATATGACATTTTCAGTTTCTGTCACTAGCAAACGCCACAACGTTGCTTGCACTAGTTGCTAAGAAGCTGTCAGAAACCATTAGCAGTTGGCTAAAGTTGCCCTATGGCATTTCCTCATGGCATCAGCAAAACGAGCATAAATCACCCAGTGGAGCCTACTGCTATACTAATGAGGCTGTAAGCTTGTTTATGGACTAGCATCATTTTTATGATTATTTCCACCTTTTCAGTTTGCCTTCATTTGGCGGCAGGAGAAGTCAACTTCAGGAATGAAGTCACTGCTGACATTTTACAAATGTGGTTCCTAGCCGCTACCATGTGGTTGGTCAGTGGTTCTTCAGGTTTGTTTAGTGATCTTTAAAAATAGGAAAAAAGGAAAGAAATTCTCTGGAGACCTCACAGAGGTGAACGTATCAAATTGCAGAGTGAATGGAAATACCAAAATACACAATTGACTATTTAGACTTTCCTCTGTGGTTTTGTCCTTCCAGGATCAATTTTCAATTTAAAAAAGTAGGAGAGGTTAAACAATTTATTAAAATCTACCAAAGTATTTGGACTTAGAATAGTCTGCTGCTTTATTATCCACTTTCTTCCTTTCACTTTCCCTAACTCGTGTTGGACAGGACCCAAGTTTATTGTTTTAGGCTTTTCTGAACATGCACCAGTATTTACACTGGATTGAAAGCATTTGCTTCCAATGAAAATCTTGTCTTAGATTACAACCCAGCAGTGTAATTTCCCTCCCAGATGGGAGTAAAGTAGCTGAATTTGCCTAAAAACAGTAGGAAGAACAAACTGTGCATTAAGCCAAGGCTGTTTTTGGCTTGAGCTAATGATGTAACAGAAACCTTTTATTTGGGATAGGTCACTGCCAGGGATTGAAGGAGGTGATCTGGCTCTCGCTTGAAAGGTTTCTCCATTGTATCTACATAAGTCTTCACTTAAAAAATTCTGTTCCTAATGCTTCTGCTTTCATACAGCAGAAATAAACAGGAAAGGTTCTGGGGAGTGTTATACATGGAATGCAGAAAGCTTTTCCTCTCCTAATGGAGTATATAATTCAGGTGCCCTGAAGGCATGCTTTCAGGAATTCTTTTGCCTGAGGTAATGGGAAGCTAAGGCGGCTTTAAGGCCTTGATTATCTATTGATGCACAAAGCTGGAAAAAAAGTCATCTCTGTTGGATTATAGTAGATATTTCCATAAATTATCAATGAATACTCCTCTAGTCAGGCGCTAGGCATTGCCTACTAAATTATTCTGAAGGGGTTTTGAAATGGGTAGAAAGTGTATTTTAAAAATAAGGGTGAAACAATCAGAGGGAGGTGGAGAAAGGCAGTGTCATTAGGTTAGAAGCTTTTCATTTTTAATCAATGAACATGTAATATTTTTCTTTTCCATGTTTGCCTCTCACAGATAGAAAGTGGATTAGCCCATGGAAATTGTAAATGCTCTTGAGTTGTTTCCTTTGCTCATGTTTCTTTTATGAATTATTATTTTATATGGTGAATTGCTTCTCTGTATAAAAGCCTTTTTTATATACTGGGCTTTCACAGAATTCATTAGTCAAAGATAGCTGTTTGTAAATATGAATATTCAAGGCTAGCCTTTCATTAAGTACACAGAGCAAGTCATAAGAACAGTTACAAATTTGCCATGGTCACTAAAATACTAAAAATATAAAACTTCTAATCACTTCTTTGCATTAAACTCTGTATAACAGATCATAATGCTGACAGCCCAAAGCCCTTCCTTTTTTACTCCTAACAAAAAAGAGTTACTCTGGATTCTTCCCAGTTTGGATGACTTTCTTGACCATTCTTGCCTAGGGGTATGGAGAACACATGCTTAATTGCATCACAACTCTGTATTATTACAAAAATAGTGTTCTTGGAAGCCACGGTATTACCATTCTAGCCATACGTAGAGGATGAAAGGAATAAATTGCTATATAGTTTTGTTTAAAAGCTACTTTCAGGGTTTAAATGAAAAATATTGCACAGTTTGACCATACACTGCAACCTTTGCTTTTCTTTGAATACTAGACCCCTGGTTCATCATGGACAAAAGTGGCTGCTACCTGGTTTAATACTCCTGTTGCTAAGCTGTTAATTTGATGAGCTGTCTAAGGTCCTCTCAACTTTTAAAGAAATTCCCAGTGCTTTGTTGTACTAGTGCAAATGCCTATGGTAGTCATGGTAAACCAGTGTAAAACAGGGTTTACACGTTACCACAACTGACTTTGATAGTTACATCAATGTGGTATCCAGTTACCCCAGTGTGAATTTTCTTAGGCTGGGATTTTTAACTGTACCTGAGGGGCATGGGTGCCCAAATTCCATTGAAAGTCAATGTGAGTTGAGCATCTAATGCCTTTAGGCGTCTTTTGAAATTTCCTCTTTAACAAAGACAGAGTCGGAGTCTCACCAATGTCTCTTTGAACTTCAGTAAAGGATGCAGGGGTGCAAGAGGGTTGCTTCCAAAGTGTCTCTTCTCATTTGAGCTGTGCATCACTGAGTAGCACATGACACCACTTATTCCACATATCAAGGTGATCTGACAGAATCAACATATTGCAAACCACAGTTTGGTCAAACACCATTTTCCTGATCTATAAACACGTGGAAGTTATTTCTGTAAAATAACATGTCATGAAGAGACCACTTCTGCACCCTGGCATGTGGGGTACTTGCAAAAATCCTGCATCAAATTAGGGAAGTGGCTATGTCACTCCTGTAACTCTTCAGAATAAACCAGAACTGGGCTGAGATAATTATTCAACCCCTCCCCCACCCCTGCTCCGGTGAATTATGATGTAAAAGAATTTCTATCACATTTCAATATTCATGCCGTTTATACCCAACGTCAGGCTTTGGCCGAAGTATCTAAAGATAGCATAAGTCAAAATTTGATTCACTATATTTACAGGTGACGGCTTGGACAACAGTGTAGCTTCCCCCAGCACAGGTGATGATGATGATCCAGATAAGGACAAAAAGCGACATAAAAAGCGTGGCATCTTTCCCAAAGTAGCCACAAATATCATGAGGGCATGGCTGTTCCAGCATCTCACAGTAAGTGCATTCTAGATCACATATGTGATATAAACATGGAAAAATTGTCATAGCTTTGCTAGTAGAAAAATAAAACGGTTTTAATATGCTACTGACAGGAAGCTTGGAGTATTTCTGATGGTAGCAATTGCAGTCATTGCATTCATTGTTTGCTAGATGCCCAGAAAAAAAGCTTTAATAGTATGTTTATATATTTTGTGTTGCTTTTTAGTGTTTTGGTTTTGGGTGCAGTTGCTGAGAGGAGCTCTTCTCCAAGTTTGATTAATCAAATCTTAATAATGTTAGAGACCAATCCTGCCCTTGTTCACATGGCTGCAGCGCCTTTTGGCTTTCATGGCAGGTGCTGTTACTATGCTGCAGTGTGTACCCTTTTGCCCATTTTTCTGTGTTCTGGAGAAATTCAAAAAATAAACGGGAAGAAAAAAATTTGCTAGAGATCACAGAATATGTATTAGAGAAAGGTTTGAATGTATCTGCTTAAATGGAGAAAAACATATTTGTCTTAGGTTCTGAGTATGAATTATTGCTGTATTTAACACAAGGAAAAATATGTACTTATTTCTGTTGTCTCAGGTACCTGTATTTGTATGTGATTAGAAATTAAAGCTCCAGAAAGGTGTGCTGGGTTGAGCTTTAGGCTGCTGTTTTCATTAAGAACACTGTATCTGAGAGAGCTCCTGTTACTGATCGATGAAATGTTCCTAATACCAGCCTTCTTTTTGTCCAGCCTATGAGTATTATGTGGTGAAGCATCATCCTGTGCTCATTAATTTAGGATTTCATCCCACAGACCAATATATTCCAACTGCCCCTGTCCATGATGGAACCATGAGACACAAATAAGAAATGTTTGCATGATCCCAAAGTCTGTCCCACACTTCTGTTCTCCAAGTGCATCAATGATCCACTTCCTTGACTTCTGTAATTGAGGTGGGGGTCAGACAAGGAGCCCAATCCCAACACCAGAGAAATGGTTATGCAAATCATCCCTATTTCCCTTGCTCTGAGAGTAACCAGTAGCTGACAAGGCTGTCAGCACCAGTATCAGAGAGAGAATCCTTCCCTTCCTGCTGCACCTTGAAATAAACAAATCTTCCTGCAGACTACTGACTCCCTTCCCTGCCTGGATGGGTCCTTAGACACCTGCCAGTTGCTCCCTACCTTTGCCGTATTTTGTGCAAGGGGGATTTTTGGTGTCATGCTTTCCGTGTCTCCACAAGACCAGAGTAAAACCAGGGTGCCACTACTTCAGGAAGCTGAGGCAGCTATCACTCTGCCAGGTAAATGCTGGACCCCCATTACAAGGCTGTCTTCTCCCCAAGCCCATAGTGTGTTATATTAGTTTGGGAGCATTTGATTCCAAAATATTCCACAAATGCCATGCCATTGGAGACACTCTATCCTGGCCCGTAAGTCCAGTGGCATTCTGCTCCTCATACTAGCCTGACGTCTCTGTGCCAGTTGGCTGATGTTGTGGAACCAATTTGCATTCCCAGTTGGGAGATGCACGCTGGCAACCCTGCAGTTAGAGCAGAAAATAGTTCACTCACAACAAAGTATGACAAATACACACACCTAGTATGCATAACCCCAGCTCAAGCTGTCTTGTTCCTGACATGCTATGATATTCATTTTATTTCTATTGTCGCTACTTGTTTCCACAAGAACCTCTCATGAACTAGGTACTTTCCAACCATTGCGGTGGATGCTGCATATGCTGAGTACCTCTCCCCAAGCTGCTTGCTACAATGACCAGAGTGCCACTAGCTTGTGGGAGATATGTCCTAGAGGCCCTAACCTTCTCACTTCATAATGAGTGAAGATTGCAATCCTCAGGACCCTAGCAATAAAGGCAATGCCCTTTTCCCAGGATTGCCAGTTTAAAGATCTACCATCCAGGTATAAGATCAGCTGTAATTCTATGAATCTTTAGTGAAAAACACCTCTTTACTTGTATGTTCCTGCAACATCTTGTTGGAATCGAGGCTTGCCTGTTCAGTTTTGTAAAACTATTGGATCATACTCTTTACCTCAACTTACCGCAGACTGCATGTTATTACAGCCAAATCAAGTCATCTTAAGGTGGGACAAGAGACTCCTTTCCAATAGCAAAAGCGCTGGGATGCATTGCTGAGAAAATTAGATGTTTTAGGCTCTTTCAAGCACCTGTTATATCTGAGAGGAGCTTGAGAATACAAATTTCTGTAACTTGTTATTACATGATAAGGATGTGGTTTTTTCTATCATGGGAAGCCAGGGTTCTGTTCTTTTCTTTCAAAAGCAAGAGCCCCAGAGAACACCTGCATTGAAATGGATGACTGACTATAAGCCTGCAGAAAGATGACAGTGAAGTGTGTTGATGCTATGGAAAGAGTCAGCTCTGCCTGGGCTATGGCTGTAGAAAACTGCATCTCACAGGCCATATTAGCAACTAGCCTCATTGCATCCTGGACTCTAGAAAACCAGATAATCCAGTCCAGTAACTCTTCCAGATATGGGTAGGCTTTTTCCACCAGTCTGGATACCCTCTTTTTTGAAAGGAGGTAGTCATTGCCCTTGCTAATCTCAGGTACATCCAACAGCAAACTAGGAATCTAATTCTTTGGACAAATTCATAGTTTCATAGGGACCTCATCTGGTCATTGAGTTCAACCCTCTGCCTAGGCAGGAAAGAGTGCTGGGGTCAGATGACTCCAGCCAGATGCCTATCCAGCCTTCTCTTAAAGACCCTCAAGGTAGGGGAGAGCACCTTGGAAGCCCATTCCAAATTTTGGCCACCCATAAAGAAGTTTTCCCTGATATCTAGCCGAAATCTGCTCTCTGTAAGTTTGTGACTATTGTTCCTTGTTACCCCAAGAGACGCCCTTGTGAACAGAGCATCTCCAACCCTTTGCTGAGTTTGTAGGTGGCCACAAGATCACCTCTCAGCCTTCTCTTGCGGAGGCTGAAGAGGTCCAGGTCCTTCACCCTCTCCTCATAGAGCTTGTCCTGTAAACCCCTAACCATACGAGTGGCCCTCCTCTGGACCCCCTCGACAAAGAAACAAAAGTGCCCACAAGTTATAATTTTAGGGGAATTATCGAGTGGTATTAGTAATATTCAAGAGCGATCGTTTATTCCACCAAAAAGAAGCATGATTACTGATGCATTTCTAAGGAAAAAAATTGGAACGTAATATTCGAGCCCAGCTTAAAAGGCTTCTGGGTATCTGATCATCACTTGGTTCAGCATTCTCTATAAATAGAAACACCAGGGCTATGGCCTCCCAAATGCTTTGGACTTTACTTGCAAACTAGAAGACCATGTCCATTCACCCCCCATCCCATGAAAAAATCCTGTTTTAAGAATGCCCAAGTAAAGATCTCAGACCTGCAAACCTCTCTGTTTCCCTCGATAGCTGGAGGAAATCAAGTTATTTCTTAACAATTAACACTGACAGAAATGAGCTGGAATGAGAACTGAAGACAAGTTCAAACGTTTCTCAGGAGAAAGCAGTTTCTTTTGGCTAGCACTTTGTACACATCTTTGGGCTGCTTACCCAATCAGTTTGAAACCAGGATAAAGAGACAAATTGAATCTAATTCATCACTACAGAATGTTACAGAGGTAGAGTCTTCTTTTTTTATTTAAGCGTATCCTGACCTATACCTGAAATATCACAAGACATCAGCAGTTACCAGAGTCCTGGCTATCAACACAAAGTCATCCAATTTCCTGTAACTCTTGAATCACTGTTTATAGACTGTCTAAGAAAGGAACTGAACTTCTTGGAAATCATGTAAGAAAATAGAACAGACCACCAACATGGATCCTTCAAAATAAACTGGCAATTAAAAGAAAATGATTACTTCACAGATCTGTGAAGGCATGACTCTCAAGGCTGTTCCATCAGAGTCTAGGTTTGATGTTCAGTGCATGGAAACAGTACAAGTCTTAACAACCATCTGCAGGATCACTTAAGTGCAAAATAGGGTCAGGCACTCTCTTCATGGGAGAGGAGACTGATTTTTGTTGTTGTGCCTAGAAAAACTCCTGGGGGAGAAAGATCAGGATTATGAAAGATGAACAAGCAACCTGATGAATTCTTAGGCTTGATGCTGACTTTGAAGAGACTGTGCATGCAACATCCAGTACAGGTCAAACAGGATGAAGGGACAGATACTAGAGAACATCCTTCTGCATTTGTCTCCAGGAATCTAGCACCTAATGAAAGGTGGGATGCCTAAATGGGAGGTGAACACCCAACCTGGATTGCACAGGGAAGGACAGCTGCCTGATCCAGAGAGTTAAGCCTGTTCTAGTGGTGATGGAGAACTGACTTGCCAAGCCTCCATGCATAGTAAGATTTTTGAAACACCTCTGCATTCCCACACAAACTACAAGGAGGAATAGGCAGAAGAAACTGTGGAGTCTGGATTTTCACAATAAGAGTGATTTTTCATAGTGGCAATATTAGTGATGTGATATCATTAAAATGCACTAGAATAATTGTTTTGAGTAAAAACAAAAGGGGGAAACACAGCTAGGCTGGCAGTATCGGTGCTCAGTGTATGGAACACTTGAAACAGGAGTTAGATCTGAGTTCTGTCCTCAGCCCTGGTAACTTGTAGCAACATCATTCCATGGCCATGCCTTAGTTTCTCCATCTGAAAAATGGAGGGGATAAATAAGTGAGCTACCGTTAGAGAAGAACAGCACTATATAAGCCTAACTACTGTTATATTAGTAATAACACACACATAGAAATATCCAGTATTCCAGTAGGCTGTTGGCAGTTCCTAATTGGGCTGTTATCTGAAAAAATCTTTTAAAAGATAAAAACTTGCTTACAAATATAATATTAATACATATGAATGGCACAGAATTAAGCAAAACAGACAGTAATTGATGTGTCTGTCATATTAATGATTAATGGTCAGAATGATTTGAAATAAACGTATAACTATGATTTTTAAAAAGTTTAGAAGTTGGTTTAATTTCTTCTTTGCTCTTATTATATT